GCTTTCCTCAGAGATGTGCAAAGGTGCGATGTCACGTGGAGCATTGGTGCAGGCAGATGTGAATAGTTCTGTGTTGGGGTGGGAGGAGGGAGTTTAAGGAAAACCTGATGGGTTTTGCCTGACTGATGGGGTTACTCTCTGTTGCTTTTACCACTCTGTTAAGTGAAGTTGATAAGTTTTGGCAATTTAGCGATAGCTTACTTTTCAGCATGTGTTCTTGAATGTCAAGTGATGATTGTGCAGAGCTTAAACCATGTCTTTTAAAAGACAAGATGACAGAGTAAAATAAATAGTTACAGCAATACCATTTACATGAAGGAGAGCTAAGGAATGTAATCCATAGCAGAGTCTCTTCCTATGTACAGCTGGGTCTGTAACAGCTCCAGTATGATTCTTTACCTATTGCCTTCCCAGGCAGTAATCCTCCTGGATCCAGGATGTTTTGTTTCTTACTTTGCTTAAAATAATAAAGAAATAGATACATAGCCCTGGGCTCCAAATAGTTTTACAAACATCTGAACAATGATCTGTTCAGAGAGAAATACCTGTTTAAGAATGTAACCAAACTTGTCTGTAACAAGCAGATCAAAGGGTCTGTAAACACAAATTAAGAAAAAAAAAAGGGGTAAAGTGGGTCAGATGCATGACACAATTTTGAGATAAGCTGTCGATAAGCCACTGCTGCAAATATTTGTCTGTGAAACAGTTATAAGCTGGTGGTTGACCCAGAAGGGAGCCTGAGGTCACTCTGTGGTTGAGGTCTGAGCAGTGGCGTCACAGCAGGCTGTCCTTCACAGAGTGCTGGGTGAGGCGTGCAGGGGCCAACGGCAGAAGGTTTTCAACATGTTCCTTTAAAGTCAGAGGCAGTTGTTGAACTGGAAAATATTTCTGCCTCATTATAGATTGAGCAAGGATGAGTGAAAAAACTGCACTTTCTGGGGATAGGCTGAGATGGAAAGTGCAGTGAGAACATTTCCTTTAACACGGGAGCCAGTGATACGCATTTTCTTTTTCCTTTCAAATGAGTTGGCTTGTGCTCAGTTTACATGATTCAGCTTACATGTGTTCTCTCAGGGTCTCACAACCCACATTGTGGTAGGAGCACCTTTGAGCTAGGTTTGGCCCACAGATGACAAGCAGTGACCATCCATGTGGCAGGAAGCAATAAGGGGGCAGAGAACAGACAAGAACTGTGTGCCGGCTTCATGCAGAGGATGCCACAGCAGTGTTAATGGCTAAATGAAAAAGCAAAAATCCTAGGTCTACCTTCACCTGACAACTAAAAACCTTTCCCTTGAGGCTGCAGGATGACCATCTCAGCCTGTCTGTAGGATTATGGTAAAAAATTTCTTATTTTACTCCTTTTTCTACTTACAGAAAACAAACTTCAGCTCTAGGCTCATACTCCATTCCTGAAGTTTAGCTCTTGCAATCTAAATTAGACCTGCCCAGCATGTTTGCGAGGTCAGTGCTCTTGGAGAATGCAGTGGAAACTTGTTTAGAGAGAACTGGGGAGAACTGGAACAATGTCAGATTGTGCTGGGAAAAGCTGCTTCATGTGGGATGTCTTCAAGGAGCAATTATGAAAATAACACTGTCAGCCAGAGAAGAGTGGATAAAAAAATACAAAAAACTGGTTTTTATTCCAGTACCTGAAGACGTGAAGCTTTTCTGTTAGAAGTTTGCATGGAGAACAGTAGTTTGAAACTGCCACCCTTTCGTGGTTTATGAATTGAAACTCTGGGTTTTTTTACAACCATAGAAAAACTTCTGACCTGTCAGAAGGTGTACAGGCATCTAGATCGTGCTCTTTCTCTCCTTCTTATGGATGCTTGATAGGGAAGGTGGCATGATTCACGTACAGAACATGTGTTAAGGCTACTGCTGAAATCCCATTATAATTGGAGTTGCTGTTCCAGGACTGACTGACAACAAACACAAGAATAGACACTGGGGTTTTTCATCCTTCACTGAGAAATGTTATTTTCACATGTTGTGTGAAATGAACTTTTTCCCTCAATTGGCAAATGACCTGTGAAATTGTTTCATATAAGCAGTTACACCTCGCAGTAAGTGTAAACTCAGTCCACTCAGCAAAGTGTTCTTGCCTCTCAAACTATTGAACAGATCAATCTTCCCTGACTGGCATACTGTCATGGGTGGCTGTGTATTTTATAGGAAAGACAGATCAGCAAGGTGAAGTGGTGGAGTTGGTTTTAATGTGAGAGAACAGCTGGAATGTATTGAACTCTGTCCAGAACTATGGATGAAGAACAAGTTGAGAACATATGGGTCAGAACTGAGGGCAGGCTAACATGGGTGACACTGTTGTGGGTGGGTGTTTACTGTGGGCCACATGATCAGGAAGAGGAAATCGGTGAGGCTGCTTACAAGTAGCCCCACGATCACAATTCTGGGCCCTCATCTACCACCTTCTTCAACCCCCTGAAAGACAGCACAGTTGGGCACATGCAGTCCAGGAGATTGCTGCAGAGCACTGGTGATAGCTTTTTGATACAGGTGGTGGAGGAGAGGTGTGCTGCTGGGCCTTGTACTAATAAACAAAGAAGGACTGGTTTGGGATGTGAAGGTTGGGGATGGCCTTGGCTGCAGTGACCATGAGACAGGGGAGTTCAGGATCCTTTGTGGAAGAAGCAGGGGCAGTAAGTAGGATCCCAACCCTGGATTTCAGGAGAACAAATGTTGGCCTCTTCAAGGACCTGCTTGGAGGAATCCCATGTGTTGGAGCTCTAGAAGGTAGGGGGTGGGTCCAAATGGTTAGTGTTCAAGCATCATTTCTCCAAAGATGACTAACAAACTGGAGCTTCTATTAGGAGGAAAGACTGAGCGAGCTGGGCCTGTTTAGCCTGGAGAAGAGAAGATGGAGAGGGGATTTTATATATGTAAGTATCTGAAGGGTAGATGTCAAGAGAATGGAGCCAATCTTCTCAGCGGTGCCCAGTAACAGGGCAAGGGGCACAAAGTGAAACAGAGTTCCATCTGAATATGAGGAAACACTTCTTTACTGTGAGGACAGGTAACTGGAACATCTCCTTCTGTAGAGATATTTGAAACCCACGTGGGCACAATCCTGTGCAACCTCCTTTAGGTGAAACTGTAGCAAGCAAATGAGACTAGATGATCTTCAGAGGTCCCTTCCAACCCCAACCATTCTGTGATTGTGTGATTTTGGATTACTTCTGTTAATCATCCTGAGGTTAGATTTGGCAAGCAGCATCTGTAACCTGCCACCATGAAAAATTATTTCCAATACTTTTCTCTAATTATTTCCAAATACTTTCTTCAATATTTGGCTGCAACTAGAGGATTGCAGTTTTCTGCAGAAGACTTAAAAGACAAATTGCAATATATATTGACCATCAATAATTCTGTATCAAAATCCCTTCAAGTATCAAGGTGTGCAAGTTGTTTTGATTTACATGTGTGTCTGTTTAGCAATGCATAAGCAGAAAATACCAATTCTTTCCTTGCTAGCTTGCTGAAAAGTATGCAATCCAAACTGACAGCAGGAAAGGATTTAAATTAAAATTACTGTATCACATTCATATGCAATTCCACTCCACTGTTTCCCCCCTAGAAGCACTCCCATTTTTAATTATGTTTCAGCAACGTCCACTGAGGGTGCATCCCAACTACCTTGCATTTCCCACCAGAAAATAAAAGAAGCAAGGCCAGTGGTAGAGGGAAGAGTGGAATAAAAAAAGGCCAGAGTGACTACAGAAAGAAAATAAGTAGAGGAAAGAAATGACAAATGCTGCTGGTTAATTGGATCTGCCCATATACAGGAGACTCAATCTCCCTTTTCATCTAACAGTAAGAGAAAAAACTGCTTGATGCATCTTGTGATCAAGTCTGAAACTTGCAGGAAGAGAAGGTAGCCAGAGCTCATTCACTCAAAGCAGACACCACATCCAGGGAAGAAAGAATTTGCTTGAAGACAGTTTTCTTTGATTAGTAAGAATTACCATTCCAAAACATTTGGTTTTTTTCAGTAATTGTTTCACCTAACTTTTGCCTCTGTGTGTGTGTGTATGTATATATATACATATAAAAATAAATCAGGAAAAATAGACTATTCATTTGTGCAATTTACTTATGTACAGTATGGAAATACTTTCTGTCATGCTGTTGTAGCTTGCGAGCATTTTTGAGAGAACAGCACTTGCCCATGGAGAACCGTGACAGTTTTACTGTCCTGCATGCAGGCTGCACCTTACCAGCTAGGAGACATTGCTAATCTAGGTGTATTTCCAGGAAAACAATTTGAGCCTTCCCTTTGTGTCTGGGTCAAATGGGGTTTTGTTCTAACCTCAGTGCCTGTCTGAGATTTGTTTGTGAACATCTGGGAGCTCCAGGCGTGGGAGAACTGATGCCTGTGCTTTAAACCTGCTGATAGTGGTTGGTTGTTTCGCTGTTGTCTGAGCGTGTGAACATGGAGCTGTTTGCTCATAGAGGTGGCTGAGTGAAGCAAATAGTGAAGTATACGTAGAAGTTAAACTCCAGTTAAACTTCAGGCCATTTTAATTTTTAGCACAAAAAAGTGTTTGTTGGAGTGGTGTGCTGGGGTATTTCTTATGTTGTGCTTATGTTCCAGTTACAGAAATTGTTGTTGTAAGGGCTAATATTAAGCACAATTTTCTAAAGATACCATAGCATCTGCAGTGGAAGTGTTTTACTGGAGAGGCTACTTAAGAAGTTATCATTTCTCCTGCTGTTAAAATCGTACATAATATAAAACCCCACAACTTGTTTTAGGATAGCAGCAATGCCCAGCAGTGCTCCTGAAAAGCATAACAACTACTGTCCTGTCTCTGGTATACTAATGTCCTGAGTTGAAACAAATATGCTTAGCAGAAAACTTCAAATACAACAAGAATTTTGTCTTTTTAAAGAGTTTTTTCCCTTGTTTAAGTAGAGGTGTTGACATTCCCTGGAAGTGTGAAATGCATTTAACCAACAATATGTCTCTTCTCTCTTAGATTACAGAAGTTTGTGGAGCCAAGCGTGTGGGTTATTTTGGTCCTGCTCAATTTTATATTGCTTTGAAGTTAATTGCAGCAGCACAGTCAGGGTTCCCAGTACGGATTGAGAGCCTTAAGAATGGTAAGTAGCAAATTTTGCTTGCAGCACTGTGCAGTTGTTTCTCACTTTCTTTAATGCTCGTCAGCTCTCCATGGTGGTTAACTTTTTATTATGTGTCTATGAACAATTTTAAGGAGCAGAGAGAGTAGAAGGTAATGTTACGTGCTTTAAGTGACTGGTAGAAAATTGCAGTGAATTTACATGTATGGCAGAGCTGAAAGGGCATCCCCCTCTGGAAAAAGCAGTACAAAGGAATGGCACGAATGACAGCTGATCAGTGCTAGAGATGCATTTCTCTCTTACCTTCAGCTTCTAATCTTGACAGCTGTCCAGAGTGAGAGCAGATAGCTGCTTTGGGTGGAGGCATATTATGGGGGACATGGGCAGGTCAAGGGGTCCCTCTGTGGAGGGCAGCTTGTAACATTCATCTATTTTAGCAAATAATCTTGCTGAAATAAATGGGTAATGGTGACAAAGTCATATTTCTTTGTTTGAGTAGATATGAAAATGTGTATTAAGTATATTTTAAAACACCTTTTTTCTTCCCAATAAATTGGCAATAATATTAAATGTACCATTTTTGATGGAGAAGACCTCTTCTTGAAAGAGGCTTAACAAACTCAAGTGATGAAGAGACAAAGCAGTACCCTTTTAGCTGCAAAACCTTGATAGCAACTAAATAGAAGGAACTTTATGGTCTTACCTTGGTGGCGCACGCTCTACCTCAGCAGGGCTCAGCTGTCAAGCATGTGGCTGTTTGCTCGAGCTTGAACAGGTTTGCATCCTCAGCTCCCAAATCCCAGGCAGGTGTTTAAACCATGCCCTGAGTCTGTGCTCTGGACAAGAGGGTGTGCCACCATCCTGCTGAAGGAGGGAGGCAACTGGTTCAAGATAAGAGAGATGGTCAGAAAGGCAGGACTTACCCCCAGCCTTGTAATCAGGTCACTGCTCCCAGCACAGTTTCTGCTCTGCTTTCCCTGGTAAAGGCAACGATATGTAAAATTCACGTTCATTGCAAGGCGCAGGGAGGCAGTTCCCAGGCCTGCTGCATCCCAAGGAGGGAATGGCAGAACGGCAAGTACATGCAGACCTGTGTGAGCTGAGCTCCTGCAGTGCAGAGCTCCCGACCAAGTGGAGGGGATCAGATGTAGCTGGTGCAGTTTGGTTCAGTGCCTTGCTGGAACAGGAGTTTAAACCAAGGGTGAAGAGGGGCAGACTGGATTTGTCTGTCAGTTTTCCTTACATGCATCTTGTGCGCTCTCTTATTTCATTGCTTTTTAAGCATTGCTTTTTAAGGATGTTAATTAACAAAAACCCCAAAAAAACAAAACCAAAAAACTTGCCCCCCCCAACTAAATTAGAAACCTGAACTAAGTGAGATTTACTATGTTTTACAAGTCCAGCATCTGCAAATAATCCACAAATTTGAGTGAAAAGGAGTACTTGCGGTCCTTGTACTGATACCCTGCTTACTGTTTCAGTACAATTTCAGTAAAAATGATTCCAGTGCTAATTACATTTTCTCTAAAAATATATGAGTGCCTTTAGAGTGGGGTGAGTAACATGTACCAAACTCCAACTGATTTCTTTCTTTCTGCTAGTAGCTGTAGGTATAAATAATTGCAGAGGTGGTGAATGGCTTTGCTTGGTTTTGAGCTTTCTGTTAATTTTAATTGTATTGATCTTTCAGGATGACTGTGAACAAAAATAAATGGTGTTTCTTAAGAATAATTAGGAATTGTCTTAAAGAGTGACAAAGTGTCACTCTCCTGCTCTGCACAGCAGATGCAACATGGGACTTTTTGACACGGTTGTCTCACTAGGCCTTGGTGTGATCTCTGAACCCTACCATTTTTAATTTGTTCCTTTCATGATGGCAGTGTTCAGGATTCTGTGATCCTGACTGATTAATTCATCAGTCCCACAGTTTCTGTGGGAAACTATTCTTTTCATTACAGGCAAGGTTTTGAAGGCAGGAAATGAGTTTGCTGCTTGCTTTAATAATGTGCACAAGGCTTACTTCTTTCTCTTTGCATAAAGAGATTATATATTAAGCTATACATTAAGAATGTAGCTTTGTGTAACATTCACATTTTTATTCAGACAAAATAATCAAAGGAGTTCCAAATTTAGAAATGTTACAAAATAGAAATAGTAGTCTTTTATAGATAAACTTTTTATTGGTTTTGCAGGACAGTTCTGCTTTAAGTGTTTCTAATGTTCTGTAGTCTCAATTGAATTTTTCTCTCTTTTAATAAAGAATTGCCTCTGCCACGATTTATGGCGCTGAAAAATGACACTGAAGTACGTTATGGGACTCCAGCAGAACTCCATGGAGTTAAATTTCAGGTTCCACATGCAACTTTGGAAAAAAATTCCTACAAAAGAACAGATGAAGGGGACAAACAGGTAACAGGCTTGTCCTCTCCAGGCCGATATATCATTACGCATCCTCCTTTTGGGTCAAGTCCTGTATATGGTTACACTCCCATTGTTTTTCACCAGTTTTGGAATACTAGACAGGAGATGAACTCCTTATATGGAAATAACCAACATCGTGTCTGTGTTCTGGTTTTGGTGCATCCCAGTTATTTCCCTGAAGAAAATTCTCTATATGGGCTTGTATAAACCTGTCAACCCTGTAAATATTCTGTGTAAATTATTTCAGTGTTGTTCTCCTACTTAATCCAGCACTGTTTCTTGGAGAGGACCAGGGAGGAGCAGCAAATAGAAGTCTGTCTGTGAAACAGAACAGGAAAGTGAGTGATATTCCACGGCCAGTACAGTCCTTAGTCATTGCAGAAATACTCAATTGGAGAAGTGTTGAATCATGAGCCACTATTTCTTGGTGGGATAAGGCCCCCAGGTTTTCTTTCATTCTAATGTCCCCAAGGAGTAGTCCAGAAGAAATCTGCTTTTTTGTCCTCAGTGAAACATTTTCCCAGCATCTGTTGTTCTGAGTTGCCGGTTTAATAAAGCTGTCCAAGAGAGATTTGTATTGCCTCTATTTGGCAGAGCTGAGAGCGCTTGTTCAGGTACAAGCAGCTTCACAGTGCTGCGTAATTTTCATAAATACTGATTTGCATGATTTTCCCCAGGCCCAACACTTTCTCCTCTGGTACCATATCAGGCCATGTTGTAAGTGTCTGGTGGAAGCACTTTATCTTCCAGAAACGTGCACACACATTTACCACACAGTGCGTTGGCGTCAGTAACAGTGTTCCCTGAGGTCAGCCAGCAGGAGTGAGCTGATGACAAGATACACAGGTGGAATAACAGGATGAGGAAGAAGAACAACATGTATGCCTATGTGTTTGTGTGTACTGACACTGAAGCAGAACTCTACCCTCAAACCCCTGGCTCCATCTGTATTATTTGTATTGTGTTTTATTTTCCTCTTTATTCAGTAAACTCTTTCAGGATTACATCCTCTACTCAAGCAATCTCAGTAAGTCAAAGGAAAGAGAAAGCTTTAGGGTAGTTACCCAGTGATACCTACAGGTCCACAGAGTGTTTAAAATACCTATTCAGAGATTTATTTTAAATTTTTTGTATATTTTTATATGAAAAATGATCTGCACAATGAATGCACTCACAGTAACTAAATACATAAATTCAAAGATGCCCACTCCCATTGAGCCTTCTACATGTACTTCTTCAGGAATTAAAATATCTTGTACTTCTTTGGAATTAAAATATCTTGAGCTGGTCGTTGTAAAGCTTTGCTATGGCACTACCATGCTTTACTCTTAGAAGACTCAGTACCACAGTCTGTCTTTTCTATTTTAAGCTACCTTTTCTTGGAAATAAAGGGCCTGAGAATGCCACAGCATTTGCCTCTTCTTTGTCTGTCATACTGTACGCATTTGGATTGCTGTGCTGCTGCATCTGGTTGTTTCTTACATCTCAGAATTGTGTTTTTTGTTGGTGTGTTCTTGAAATAGGAACCCAAGTCTCCTCCAATGTCTCCAATCTGCTCACCTCCTGCTTCTCCATCTACTTACCAGAGAATACCCCTAAGTTACGGATATGGTAAAGCAAGAAGTGGTCTGGAGCAGCAACATGGAGGTAGGATAAAAACTGTGATGCACACTGTATTCAATTCTTTTGCCTTTTTTTTTTCTTTATCAGAAGTATCTGAATTCCAAGTGCAATTGACAATCAGCCTAATGATTTTAAAATTTAATTAGACTCATGTTTTAGAAAATTATTTGATCAACTTATTTTGACTGTTCAATCCTGTCTTCCTGTTTCCTTTCTATTAAATTAGATTTGTGTAACTTCTCACAAATGCTAACATCTAGTCTCTGACAAGACTACGTGCAATATATCCCAGTGGCAGAGAGCTTGAAAGTATTGTCAGAACGCACGATGCTTTTGGATTCATTAGCAGGAAAAAAAAACCAATTTCCATAGCCACATATTAATTTTCAGATTGAAAGTGAACCTTCCATTGCAGTAAAGGATAATAATGTCACTGGTTTTGTAACAGAAATAACAATAGAACATGAATATAAAACCAGTGTAACTTAGGCAATACAGACAAAAGACACTGCTTAGTTGCTCAGTCCTTCATCTTGCTGCCATTAGAGGGGGTGGCAAAATGTAAGAAGAAGGTAATGGGGCAGAAACCATTTTAACTATGTCTTTAGTAGCTCCTATTAATAGTAAGGCATCTGTGCTCTCCTAATTGCAACATACGGTGACCAAGTTGGTGGCAGTAGTAGGCATTGGTGGATACTGACCCTCCCTCATCCCTCCTGCTTTAGATTGGTGTGTTTGCAGTGAAGAGTGGATCATGCTAATCCTTTGGCTTTTGTCCTTGTTTATATTATATATCAGTGAAAAAACAGAGCTATTCAACCTTGCTGTCCCAAGTGCCAGTTTAGTGCATGACCTACTGGCTCTTCCCGACCTTTAAGACCCTTCCAGTTTCCTGAAGAGCCCTCCAGAGGGCAGGTCTGGAAGTTTCTGCATAGTGCATGTGTGGGAAGTGCAGTGCCACAAGGCTGGCCTTGGCTGTACTGCAAGTCTGACTCTAAAACTGGACAGCATGTCTTGAAGGGCAGCCCTTTGCACTGCAACCATGTCTATATGTTTTTCTTGATAGTTTTGGAAGTTTTTCATGCTAGAAAACACACATCAGTGTGGCCTTATGCTTAAATCTCCCCTCCGAGGATATCTGTATGTTTCCCACTTTCCTGCCTTTTTTTTTTTTTCTGAAATTAGTAGTTACTTGTATAGGAATAAAAATAGATACCCATACAGGATAAGACTACTTAAGAAAACTAGGGAGTTATGGTGTAATTTTTAAGGTCTTCCTGAGCTCAAATTTTTTAAGATTTCTTGGTCTCCTTTTTCATCATGAGTCTTTAAGGTTCTGACTATCTAATGTAAACTGTCTTTTTGGTAAATTTTAAATATGACGACAGCAGAAGTTCTCAGGTCTGCAAGGTTTGCAAGTGAGATGTCTTTTTGTTTGCATACTTGCCCTATTTTTAAAACATTGTTCCTAAACGTGTAGTTGTGTCACCACTTACTATATTTGCTGTGGTGGAGCCTAAGTGACTTATTTTAGCAAAAGAAGTAATTGTTACTTTTGCTCACTAACTTTATTCCAAATTGGTGAAGTGGCAAGTCACATACTTTGATTCTCAACAGAAACTGGGGAAGGGAGAGGAAGAGTATGTGGAAAAAGTGATTTGCTATTTCATAGCATTGTCAAAGCATATTTTTTTTGCAGCTCGATTGAATTATTTCTTCTTATTTGTAGTGCATTCTTCTACTATATATGGCTGCAAGTATATAAAAAGTATAAATGCATAAACAGGCTATATAAATATGTATTTCAATATGATGAACAGCAGTTTCTGTCATCCAGTAGTATATAACTGACAGTGTCTCAGTAATGTATGGAGAAGAATGCTGCAACGTAAAAGACAAAATACGTGGCTGGAGTTTTGTTGCAGAAGACAAAATGGGCTTTGATACTGTGATATTAGGTTCACTGGGTAGATGCTTGACAAAATGGACTTTTGATGCCCTGATACTACCTTCACAGGCTACATTCTTGGCCTTGAGGTGTTTAATTATTTCTTTTAGCCTAGTAGATTTTTTTTGATTATCGTTTAATTTATATACTTACTTTAAATGTCTGTAGTTCTTTATGAAGTCAGGCACTCTACTCACCAGCAAGATGGACCATCATCAGGGAATTATGGAGCCAAATCTTCACTCACCTGTTCAACTCCTAAACGGGTAATGCATTCCACATTTTTCCTTAGTACTACTACTACTAATTAAATAATAGAGAAATTTAAAAAAAAAAACAAAAAAACACCAGAAAAATTCTCACTTTGAAAATGAAAAGTATTCTCCATGGTGTTTTTAGAGTAGAGACTGAAGTGTGCTTTTTTTAGTATACGACGAAAAAAACCCTGATTGGATGAAGAAATTAAAATAAATAATCCAATTAAGTTGCTAAAGGTAAGTATTAATAAAACATTTTCATCAACATACATGAGGTTCCTGCTTGATTTAGAATGCTGTCTGTAATGGCCTAACATTCTTTGTATTTTGGTTTTTCTCCCCAGTTGTTAAGTTGCATCACAAACAGAATAGATTAATTTCTGGGCATTTGTTTGCTTTTGTGAGATGGGTCTTACGTTTTCCTGCTGGTTGCAAAAGCAGATCTTTCTAGGTTCCAGTATGCCTGCTGTGCATTTATTATGCAAGCAGGTAGTTTGCCCTAAGGAAGGGCAAAGCTCTCCTAGAGATTTTCCTAAATAAGTAAGAGGCTCTACCTTTTCCTCAGTGCTTAGCACTTCACACCCACAATAAAATGTCATCCGAGCCTCCAGAAAAGATCTACAGGTAGTATCACATAATTTGTGCTAGCCTGAGTTGAAATTGGGTGCATTGTGTAGCACTTTGAAATGAAAATCAATTTACAGCTTTATGGTGATGCCTGTTTTGGGGATCTTTTGATGTGTTTCAGAACTGATGTTTTACATTTGATTCTTAGGAAATCGACAAATATGTCAGAGAAAGAAAGGGTTTTAGAGCTGATTGGAGCCTGATTGTTGTTCGTTCTTGCCCTTACTCTTAAAGAGTATTATCATCCAGGCTCACATATTGAATACTAGCCTCAGTTTTAACAAGTAAGTAGCGGAATGGTAATTAGTATGGCCATTTCTGCTTCTTGTCTTCTAAAAACTTGTGTCTATGAATAGAAGAGTATGAATCTGGTTTCTTGAGGTTCCCAATGCCATTCTGGTCCCCTGCCTGTGGCCAATGCCAGTGTCCCTCCCTTCAGTCTCTTTCAGTGGAGCGGGAGCAGCAGGATGGCAGCACCCACTACTCAGATGACCCTTGGAGGATAACGGAGGAGCAGCGGGATTACTACATTAACCAGTTCAGGTCCCTGCAGCCCGACCTGAATGCCTTTATTTCAGGTAATTTTTACCAAACACAGTGCATGTCAGGTAGGGGGACCAGGCTGGGAGGTGAGAAGTTTTAAGTAAATAGATTCTTTTTTCTGTCTGGCAGTGGGTTTATAAGAATCGGTTGTGTTTCCTTTTTGAAGGCAGACTACTCAAAGAGCAAACCATTACTGTGGCCATTGCACTTTTTTCCCTAAATATAATGATTTTAGATATATAATTACATGTAAAGGAGAAGTGTTAGTGGTTTGGTAAAAATTAAAATGAGATTTCTGTATTTGATGCACTATTTTTGTGGATCACACCTGCAGTGTATATTGAGTTGAAACACCCATGAAGGTTGTACTTGCTTTCCCAGTGGAACTGTGGTAGTGTCTATGTGATGACAGTGAAGCATACAGTTAACTGTTCTCTGTGTTCAAGCCTGAGGTTTATGGCTCTGAGGGGCTGAGATTTTGATCTTTAGGTAATTAAAAACCAATCCTGGAGAGCGCATGCACGGTGGAAGTATTGTTAAGAGCATATTGAGATTGCATTTCTGTTTTGAATAGAAGGATCAGACTGCTGGCGAGAGGAGTCACTGCTGGGTACCGACAGTTGGTGTGCGAGGAAGATGTCACAGGTTTTAACTTGAGGAAGTTTTAATGAGCCGTGCTGTATCAGTAGAGCTCAGGAGGCCCTGATGTATCACAGGTTCAGGAGGCTTGGATCTAGCCTCAGTTAAGTCTCCTTCATGCAGTTTGCTTCGAAGAACAAGTGGTAGTTCAATGTTGGTTCTTCCCCTGATGGTTGTCCAAGGGGAAGGGGACTATAGTCTTGGAAGTCTGTACTTTGTTTCCCTATGTTTTGTAAGCCTATACCCAGGAAGGGCTTTCAGGGTGCCTCTGAGAACCTGTGCATATGGGATGCTGAAAAAGTGGATTTGTTAACTAGCAGAAGTATGAGAAGGGCATGAGAAGTATGGCAGGGTGAGTGAGGATGCCTGCAGTAGGACAGGAGCTTTGTGCTATCTGAATCTTCTGGGGTTTATTTTTTTTCTTTCTTTCTTCCTCCCCCCACTCCACCATTCCCAGTAAAATTTGAGCCACGGCAGAGAAGAGTCATGGTTGAAACAGCATCTTGGGAGAGCAGTGCAGATGCTACAGCACTGTACTGCCATGCACATGACTTCTGGGTGAAGCAGGGCTGTTTGTATCTATTATTTCATCACTGGCGACATACTAATTAAGCTGGTTACAATTACTAGTACTAAAGCAGATTTTCCTTTATTTATAATTTTTCCCATATGGAGGGAATGGAGAAATGAGGTCAACAGTTCTGTCTGGCTTTCTCTGTCATTTATTCAGGAGACAAATGGTCCAACAGCTATATTAGCATTTGGTTAATCTGAGTATCTCTTGGATGTAAATTACCAGTCTGCTTCTGGCACAGCAGACCCAGTAAAAGGTGAAAATTTTGAGAATTAATTTCTAGTTGCTGATAAAGCATGCTTTCCCAACAGGTTCTGTAGCAAAGAATTTCTTCACAAAATCAAAGCTGCCTATCCCAGAACTTTCTCACATCTGGTAAGTACTGTAATAGTGTTGGGGATGTGTATCCTGATTTTTAAAAGACACTGAATTCAAGAGTTCTTGTTAAATTTTAAAAGTGCCTTCAGTTGTAATTATTTCTCTCATCTCCAGAATCACTTTGAGGCCCAAGCAGCAGGGTGCTCATTGATCTTCCTGACAGACTTGTTTTCTGGAGAGATGTTGCCCTACTCAGCAGGACTGGGAAGGTTTGAACAGCGACATAACTGAGAGCTGTTCTTAAGTATATTGTAAGCAGCATCATTATCTCAAAGAACTGACATTTTTCATGAAATGACATGGAGGAGAAGCACCTCTGGAATGTTTTAGATGTGTTGATGGCTTTATGTTTGTCTCTGTTTTATCAGAGGCCTAATTAAACAACTACATAATTCATCAGTGCTTTTCTAATGAACCAGTACACTTACTTTTAATGAGCTTATTGAGAAACAATTGTGGATGGAACTGTACATGATAGAATTTGACAAGGATTCTGTTATATTTTCATAAACATCATGGTGCTTTGTAATTCAGTGTCATCCTTGCATCTCTGATAGGAAGAACAAACAGTTTTAAACATGGATCAGAAATGCTGATAGAGGTTTTATTTTTATATATATGCTTTTATGAAGAGAGATGAGAAGAAAAGCTTGCGAGAGCCTAAACATCTGTCAGGGTCAAAGGATATGTCTGGAATCTTTTCAAAGCGGATTGTCAGTTGTGAAAATAAAAAAACAATTGAAGAAACATAGTGTTGGGGGAAGTGAATGTTGGAATTTAAGATTACTTAAAAAGAATGGATTAACCCAATATGTTAACGAAACACATTTTATATTTATTGCTGATGCAACTTGTTTTCTGTGCAGAATTTCAAGAAAAGTATTCCTTTTTAGTAGATAAGTATATTTTGTGACAATGTGATATATCAGGTTGTCTTGCTGTGTTAAACACATGGGATGTCTCAGTCTTTGTCACTATAAGCTCAACAGCTTGAAAAGTGCTTGTTATTTTCAAAGAGTAAGAAGTTATGGTAAATTTAGACCATGGGCTCAAGATAAAATATGACTCAATTCTTGCAGAGAGTTAATTTATAAATTTGAGTTCTTGAACTTCTGATGTCCAGCTTTAGTGTTTGTGAAGCATCCTAGAATTAGAGAGAACTTCTTTAGAGAGAAGCTAACAATAATATTTAAACTTGTCATGAGCATTAATTTACCCCTTTTCTTAAGACTAGCCAATGGTGCTAAGTAACCATTGCTGAAATCCATATTGAACTTTTCCTGCTTGAACTGGTTTAATCCTGCACAAATTGGCCAAAAGTACTTCCAACCATTGAATGGTTGATTTCACTCTTGGAAGAATGTGTGTTTGCAGCTTAGAAGGCCAGCCATATCCTGGGCTACATCAAAAGAGGGGTAACCAGCAGGTTGAGGGAGGGGATTTTGCCCCTCTGCTCTGCTCCAGTGAAACCCCACCTGGAGTGCTACATCCATCTCTGCAGTCCCAACACAAGAAAGGCATGGATCTGCTGGAATGAAGTCCAGAGGAGGGCCACTAAGTTGATCACAGGGCTGAGGCATTTCTCCTATGAAGAGAGTCTGAGAGAGTTCAGGCTCTTCAGCCTGAAGAAGAGAGGGCTTCAGGGAGATCTTCTAGCAGCCTTCCAGTATCTAAACACAGTCCACAAGAAGGCTGGAGACGGGCTTGTCACAAGGGCATGGAGTGATAGGACAAGGGGATTGGCCATAAGCTAAAGAAGGGCAGGTTTAGATTAGACATTAGGAAGAAATTCTTTACTGTGAGGGTGGTGAGGCACTCTTGTTGCCCAGAGAGGTTGTGGATTCCCCATCCCTGGAAGCATTCAAGACCAGGCTGAATGGGGCTCTGAGTAACCTGGTCTGGTGGGAGGTGTCCCTGCCCGTGGCCAGAGGGTGGAGCTAGGTGATCTTTTAGGTCCCTTCCAACCCTAATCACTCTCTAATTCTATAAGTATAGTTATGTATTTCATGTTCTACTATGTGCATACCATAATATTGAATGGTATGATGTAAAAAAAAAATGTACTTTACTGAAAAAGAAAGAAGTGGCAATTCAGTATTAGAAAATTAGCTGGCTTCATCTTCCCCGAGACCAATGTGCAAGTTAGGATCAAGTGCAAATGACAGAGATGCTTGTCTTGTGTTAAAATATCCCTTCTCAGACTTGCATTTTTGTCTCCCTTGTGATGGCACACATATGTTTCCCTGAGGTAACAGCTTGGAAAACGTGTGCCTGTTTTATCCACAGGGAGCTGAGCGATGTGGATTGTGACGGGGCACTGACACTCCCAGAGTTTTGTGCTGCTTTCCACCTTGTGGTTGCGAGGAAGAATGGTTACCAGCTGCCTGAGACTCTGCCGGAGACGCTGCTGCCTGAGTACCTCCAAGCAGGTAATGTTCCTGCAGCAGGTCGTGTCCCTGTAGCTATCTCAGAAATCCGTCATCTATGTAAGACAGGTTCACTTTCCTTCCTGGAGTGGGGTTCTGTGCTGTGTAATGGTTCTCTGGCTGCTTTTTAAGGCAAATGTTTTTTGTTGATTGCTGAGGTAGTAATGAGGGCAGTGAGTCACCATAACAGGTTGCCCCGAGAAGCTGTGGATCCTCCCCCCCCCCCTCCGGAAGTGTTCAAGGCCAGGTTGGATGGGGTTTTGAGCAGCCTGGTCTAGGGGGAGGAGTTCCTACCCATGGCATGGGATTGGAACTAGAATGATCTTCAAAGTCCCTTCCAATCCAAACCATTTTATTAATCTATGATACAGCTTTTAATTCCTTTGATAATTTTTCCTCTAAGTATCTGTCTCTTGAAAATTTGTTGAAAATGATACTGGACTGCTTTAGAACTCAATATGCTAATGTGTTTGTTAGATGCAGTAACTGGTTGTATCAAAGGTTGAAGTTTTTTGTAATTAATTTTGTGTAATCCACAGATTCTTCTATAAGGGCTTTACATTAATGATGGGAATTACAACAGTTTGTGTAGCACAAGGGTGAATTAATCCAAAATGTAACATACCTTATAACAATGTGCAGTGAGAGACCTGTCCTCTCATTTGTTCTCTTCAGTTATGTCTCTTTTAATTATAAATGAACATTGAAATATATACTGTTCCATCTAAAAAACGTGCATGCCTCTCTAGGGCAAGGAGGATTAATCACAGATGATAATTACAGTGCTAAGGGATAATATTTAAGACCTAATAAAATCTCCATTAAATTTGATGACACTGAATATATTAAAAGGCAGGAAGAGAACAAATCAAGCTGCAGTTAAAAAAATTAAATGTTGACCCTGTATCAGATTTGTGAAGTAATTTCTGATGGACTCATGTTCCCTGTAATCCACTGTCTTCATATCCAAAGCAATAAGCTTCTGGAAAGCCTGCACTTCCAAGTCTTCATCACTTTTAATTTCTCTAATTACATTCCCTTGTCATAATTACAACTACCCTTTTCCCTCCAGAACCACAACTTTGTTCACTAACTCTCATGCCTGGTCTCATGATAAATTGGCTTTTAAGCTCAATTGTGCAGGTTCTTCTTGGTGTGTCTTCACATTAAGCCTTTCTGGGTAAAACTGCAATGGAAATAACTATCTCTAGTAGTAGGGAATCATTGTATCAATGGGAGGAATAGAATGGTAAGCTATCTTAGTTCCCTGGGAGTCCTCTTTTATCCTGTTTGTCCCTTTAAGCACTTAGACATACCATTTTTTTAGATGATTATTGTTTTCTGGTGTTGCATGAAATCAAGCATTTCAAGCTGATCTTCATGGAAGAAGTGAAAGGACTAATTTCTTGTGGGTACTGTAAATACCTCAGCTAATATACTAATTCTGGTTAACTTGAAGATCTGAAAATATCTTGTGCTTATTCTCCTACCTAGTCAGGATTCAGAAGTCTGTCTTTTGCAAGTCTTGCATTAATGAAAAGTAGACCATCTCAACACACTGTATCACTGTGAATCACAAGAAAGCATAGAGCCCTGATTGTGTTGCTTCTGAAATAAAAGCATTGATAAGTAAGCAAGTGCCTTATACAATTACCTAAAATGTCAAAATAAATTTTCAAGAAAAAACCGTGGGTTTTTTTATGTTTTCATGATTTGATTTCTCTGAAATTTGTAAATTTTTTTTTTTTGGGCTTGTTAGGAACCTGATGAAGATTACTGGAAACTGTTCTTCATTAGATTGTTGTATTAGTTTCAGAGCATCTAATAAAGAGTGTTGTTAAAGCTTCAAATAAAATGGTTTGGAGCGAAAGAGCATTTAAGAATGCATTAATCTTACTAGTTTTATGATTTGTACTATAAACTACAAGAACAAGTCCAAATGCTATCCTGGCACAACTCCATTAACAATTTGACCCACCACCTTGCTTTCAGAAAATTTTTATTAAAATTAATTTGCAGAATCTGGAAAGCTATTTGCCCTGTATGTAAACCATGGCATTGTAAATTAGGATTGATTTCCAGGAGCTTAATTTATTGAGATAAAATAGATGCTAGCGAAAAAATCAAAATGTGGTTATTCTACGTTTTGATATATTGATCTTTTAAAAAAGGTGTTTTCCAGCTATTAAGACAGATTTGTCTCAGAGAGACTAATCCCAGAGTGATACCAGAAGAAGGACCTGAATTTGTGACATCTAAGGTAGTTTGTTGTGAATAGTCCTTTGAGAAGTTAGAGTTGATTTTCCTTCCCCCAATATTGTTTGGTTAAAGACATTTTATACTACAGCATCCACTGTGTTTAGTGTCCTTGTTTTCTGTTGGCCTTCAATTTTAGTGTATAGTGTAAATTCCACTATACTTTTCAGTCTTCAGAAAGTCAAGACTGCAGCTGAAGGTTTTCTAAGTACCCCTAACATTCCTAGGAGAGCAAGGTATCAACTATAATATCAACTAAGCTGATACTGGATTGGAAGGAGGAAAAGTGCGCATAAGCAGTGTTTGGCACTTCATATTTACTAAAAATAATTTCTTCCAAATTTCACAATTATTTCTATAACAGAAATGAGACGTTATCCCTTTCATGACATTGACTAATTTAAAATGCAAGACAGAAAGATTTTCATCATGGTGTTTTTCATTCCACATCTTACAGATCAGGTCTGATATGTAGAAATGACGGGCAAAATTATGCTAGGTTTTTAATAAGTATGAATTAACCAAAGACTTGACATGTCTCTGTGGTTTTTTGTTTGTTTGTTTGTTTTGTTTGTTTGTTTTGTTTGTTTTGGTCATTTTTTCTTTTCTTTTTCTTTCCCCTGCAGCTTCTTTGAAGCCCATGCATGACTGTGCCCTGTTTGATTCTTATTCTGAGCCATTGCCAGGCAATCAGCAGACTTGGGACTTCAGTCGGACAGAGGTGAGAAGGCTTAAGCAGGGTGCTTACCTTGCAGAGTGGAGGGGAATAGAGCAGCTTCACAGTGACTGCGCTCTGTGTAGCAGCAGAACTGCAAGTCTCTGAGAGGACTATAGGAGTCTCCAGGCCTCCCATTAAGCCATCTGAAACCCTTCTCTCAGCCATTTCTTTGGTGTGTGGAAAGGGCTGACAGCCTTTTCAAAAGATACTCCCACACAAGAGTTCACAGTAGTCACTGAGGTACTTGGGCAGTGTTGGAGTCTGCAGAGAAGTAGACCTTACCTGTCCTGCAGGGCTGTGTTTGGCCCCCCAGTGTTGGGAACGAGTGGTGAGCGGCAGAGCCCGTGCTGCAGGACGGGCAGTGTGGCACACAGGCAGTGCTCAGGTGTCCTGAGCAATTCTCCTCAGTCTGAATTGATTGAAAATGTGAGGCGTCTGGCACAGAGCCAGAATCATAAAATCATTGCGTTTGGAAAAGATTTCCAAGGTCATCAACTCCGTTAATCCAGCACTGCTTTCTTTGTAGAGGGCAATAAGGTCTCCCTTGACCTTCCTTTTCTCCAGGCTAAACAACCACAGCTCCCTTAACTGCTCCTCAAAGGACTTGTGCTCCAGACCCTCCACCAGCTCCACTGTCCTTTTTTTGACATGCTCCAATGCCCCTCTGGGTGAGGGACTCAGAGCTGAACACAGTAGGTTCAGTTGAAAGGAGCAAGGGGTTTGGACTGGATCTGCAGAGGTGTCTTGCACCCCAACCATTCTGTGATTCCATGAAGACTGATACAAGAAACTTTGAAGACCCTGTGAAGGTGAACTAATCTTGGCCACTAAGTTGTGCCTGAATATTGCAACTCTGAATATATATGCTGTGGGCTTTAAGGGTTCAGTATTTAAGGTAGTTAATCAAATGACAGACTGACTGCAGGAACCAGCCCTTCTGGCACTGCTTCCACGTTTAAAGTAATGGAATGTCATGGCAGCTCAGCAAAGCTGTTCTCCAGTTATTTCCTTCTAATGCCTTGCTCTGGGGAGTTCCTGGATCAGAACCCAGCTGCTCCCTCATCAAATCCATCTTGGTAGTGCTGTCGCCAAACATGATTCTAAGCCTCAGTTGACTACAGTGTTCACTTTGGACAGTGCTGCAGCCAACCTTTTGAGCATGCAGTGTAGAACTGTTAAAAATATATGCAGTATCCCTGGGAGGAGTTGCTCATCTTGCAGCAGCTTGGCCAAAGCACAGCAGTCACACTGGGTTTTGAACGCAGTGCTGCTGGTCTGGTACTGCAGGCTGCTCGTATGCTGGCAGTGTAGGCAGGTCCTTTGCCAGAACAGCCTAGTCCCTTCCTTATGACCTTATAAATGGCTTGCAACCTAATGTATAAAAGAAGATATGGGTATAATAGAGAATTAAATTTTAATTAAAATATAAACAAATATATAATTATGGTTTTTTATACTCATAATTAAAAGCTTCAGTTTATGTTGTCTAAGATAAATGGACTTTAAAATCTCTTCTCAAAACTGATTTGAGAATCATTTTGATATGATTTTTTTTCTGTTCAACTTATGTTTTTATGTTCAGAATTAATACACTGAACGAGTATCATTTGGAAGGTCAGTAATTCATCTCCCATTCATCTCCCTCTGTGGGAAGTGCAGTAATTCAATGTTGCAATATAATTTGTATCGTGGCTCATTGAGGAATTATAGTTTAGAGACTTGATCACTACAGTAAAAATATTACATTATCAATGCAATCCGTTATGCATTATCTCTGTGACTTTGTCTCTTTCCACCTATTACCCATTCATTAATTTAATTTCCAAAGGCCATTTTTACTGTGACTGCTGAGGTACTGCAATAAAATGGAAACAGTTCTTGAATGTATCCATAAAGGAAATAATGGCAGGAGACATGTCACCTGGATGCTAGGCTTTGTTGAACTACAAAACACTGCAATACTGCTGATATTACGCTTGAGAAGGACAAGGGTGACTGATTTTTGTTTACCAAGGAAGTTTTGTCTTCCCAATTTTTTTTCTCAAGTTTTTATCTACCCCTCACTTTTGGTTCTTTTTTACAAGCTTTCTCACTGCCAAAATCTTGAAGATAAAACATGCGATTTCACACTATACACACAAAATGACTGGTTGGGGTTGCTCTGAACTCCCTCAGAAAGTTCACTGAAATTTATGAAAGTCATTCCATTGGTTAAAGCATGCACTGACTCAGGTCTTTAGTCTCATGCTCTTCACTTGAGAGTGTCAAGGCTAGCTATGGATGTGAAATCTTTTACTCATACATTTTCAGAGTCTTCAAGCCATATTTTTGCTGTGTTGCTTTCTCAGAAGTATTAAAGTATCCCATTCCTCAGAAACTTTATAAAACAGATCTAACAGACCTTTAATCTGGGAGTTTTCCTTTTTGAGCTACTGACTTGAGATTTTTGTGGTCTTTTAAAAACACCTACAATATCTAGGTTTCTTAATTAATTTGTTTAGGTCCAGTTTATTTTAGTACATTTTAAGGTCATACCTCCTCCATGCTCCCTGGGGAAAATCCAGCATCACTTAATATTTAGAGAAATGTAGGGTTTCTGACATTTTCTTTATTGTTTTTTTTTGGTCGCAGAGGGCATCCTTGTTCTTACAGATACTGTAGGTAGAATTTGTTCCTCTTTCCTTCTTGCAGGATACACAGTTGCTGAAGTAACGGAAAGTTAAGGAATGAGACCTAGAAGTTCTCTGTTTTCCTATCGGAGGCCTGAATGGACCTCCAACAGATATACTAGTAAAATTTTTTTTTTCCCATCTCAAGGACTGCATGTTGAAAGAAAAGAGTAGTTAAAGGATCAACCACATCAGCCAGAAACCTTTAAAGCATAACCACCAGGCTCTGCAGTATCGCTGGAGTTTTGGCTAGAGAGACTTTTTCCATGGAGACTGACTTTAGTGAAGGAGCTGGAGAAGGTTTCATCAACCCTAAACACAGGTGTTACATGTGGCTCTGTTGGGAGAAGTCTCCTTACATTTAGTCCTTACCTCCTTGTGATTTGCTGTTGAAGTTCTTCTCTAACTAATTCAGGTGTGGAACTGCTGTACCTTGAAAAGCAGATTTATATTGTCTTTCTGTACGTCCTTTATGCTTTTTTACCTGACAAAGCAAATTGTGGTGCAAGGGCAAATGTCACCATTATTTATGTTTATTAGTATTCTTAAATATTTGACTGTGGAAAGGTGTGAACTATACCAATCATTATAAATAAACAGATCTTCTTTCTTTAAGAAGTCATCAGCTGAAGAGAAGATACCTGATAACTCTGCCCTGTTACAAGATGGAAAGAAAGATGACAAACAAGGTATTCAAATAAATAACTATTATTTTTCCATTGGGGATTAAATTCTGTGTATTTTTAGTAAGTCCCTAAGTTTGCTGACAGAAGCAATGGTATGTTTAATTTCTAAGCTGGCTATGTGTTGCTGTAGTTTTAAAGAGACAACTCACTGACAGCAGCTGAGTTAAAGAGAAATAAATGGAGAGGTTTGCTTCAAAATTAATTAAATGTGAATGATGTGAAATGCACCTTCTAAAATATGTCTAGTTTTAAGGATTAGTGTTACACTTCTAATTTAAACAAAAGTCTAGTTGTTATCAGGAATTTTGTAAGAGTAAAGATTACATTGGGTCCAGTTTTGCATTTCCCTTTTTGCAGGAAAGAGCAACACCTTAAAAATTAGTTTTTATTCCTATTTGAAGAAAAACGCCAAACCTGTATTTTCTCTAAAACAAAAGTTTTAGTCAAACATGGAATGAAAAAGCTTCATTCATTTCTCTTGAAATCCATCAGCAGAAAGTCATGAGAAATCTTTTTCCACGCAGTAGCTTCTGTGGCTTCCAGAATTGGCACAGGATCATCACACAGTCATTCATTCCCTTTTATAACCCTTTTTCCCAACCTTTCAGGTTCTTACTTGCTGTCTTTCAATTGTGGAAACAAAACAGTTGTGGGTATTTTGTTGCCTGGTTCTCAGAGCTGCAGATTACGTATTAATTAAAATATAAAATATCTTGACCTCCCAGCTGTCTACACATTAAGGTGCATCAGAGGTGTGGGACCAGGTAGTCCACATTCCTAAATCACCAAGTTTGATAGATTCCTGGTGTCCCTTATCAAGATTGACATGTGTTTGTAAAACATTTTGACAAGTCATCATATTCCAAGAAATTAGTGTTTTGTTGACAAGGTGTTTTGTTGTAAAATTTATAACGAACCATAGGAGGACTTGAAGCTTAAAGGTTATGGCTTTGAAATATCTAGGGAAGATTTACTTTTTACCAAGAGATTCCCCCCTCCCCACCACCATTTAAAAAAGTCACTAGAAACGGTGCATAGGGTTCAGTGGAAGGGGTTAAGCACTCTACCCCCCAAATTATCAGAATTTGAGGTTATTTGACAATTTGGTCATAGATCTTTCTGTTCTTGATTTTTGTGCTCTTAGTGTTACTTGTTTGAGTGCCTGGGTTTTCTGAGGGTATTTGGCTACTTTTCAAGTGTGTTTGGCATTATTAGATGTTCTAATACCAGTTTAGGTGCTCCTTTCTCAGAGCTGATACCTGTAGATTTTACCCACACATACTTAATGATCTTTTTATTATCTTTTTTTTTTCTTAAGCTCTTAAAGTAAGCACTACTCTCAAAACTATACCAAAGGAATTTCAGCACTTGACTGTGAAAACAGGTAAGAAAAAAACATACCATTTGTTACTTACTCTAAAATCTTGACTAAAAATTTTTATATTTAGTAAGCCTAGGGTAATTTTTGGAAGAACCTTTTGCTCTCATTTTACTACTGAAATTAGCTTTTACCTCAGAATGACTACGACTTGCAAGATAAATATTAATTACCACTTCAAATTGTCAAAAGGTTTTCTTCCTTTCTTTCTCTCATTGTTACTGTGTGGGCTCTACATCCATGGGAAATATTTTAACATAGCGGTTTTAAGGACTCTGAAGTTTTTCTGTGCTACAAACAAGATGCAAGAGCATGACTATTGTACCTTTTCATAAAAATCTCATTTAAAGTATAGAATGACTATGTAAGGTTTCAGTAAACATTCTGAAATGGCCTGTTTTCTTTCTGAAAGCTCAGCTTTCATTCTTTGTGTTAAGGAGTTAAAGGACAGGGAGGCTTTTGGAAACACAGACCTGGAGGCACTTAAGACACTGACGCAAGCTTTTGATTCAGGGGGTATTTCTTTGTTGAATCCAACCCCGATTTTCCTCTCCAGCTCCAACATACACTTCTTTTTCCTATCATTCTGGAAAATGTTATTTTTGGAACAGCATATGTCAAAATTACTTAGTTGCTCCAGAAACTTCCTCTGCATTCAGTTCAGTTCCACTGACCTCCCTTGCCTTCCTCTTTGTTAATATTTTTGCTAGTGTGGTATGAATGTTTGTAAGCCCTCCCTGGTCCCAGCCAAGCTAAAATTTGGACTTGCTTTCTTTTCCTTTTGCATAGATGTTTTTACTCTTGAAGATATCCTTGATTAAGAAAATGGACCCCACATGTCTGTCACAGCAGTTTTGTCTTATAGCTCGATTTTTTCATGGCTGCTCAACAGCTGCATGCCTCATTTCCCAACTCTTTTTTTTTTTTTTTTCTGGCTTCTTCCCAAACACTTGGCAGCTGCCAGATTTCCTATCTTCAGCTCCCATTTTTGAGTGATTGCTGCTTCTCCTTCACATACACACACACTCTTGCACTTCCCTCTCAGGGGAAGGGGAGGGTGATTGCAGGACTTGCAGTTCTGTTCTCCTTCCCCCCAGTTTTGCCCAGTAGCGTATAGGGGAGTTTTATTTTCAGTTCAACAAGTCCATCTTCAGTACATTTGGGTAAAAAACCTTCTGTCACCTTCACGTCTCCTTTGCCACCAACCCCTTTTCCACAGTGTCCTTTATCTGCTAGTCTGAGGTCTTCTTGATGCCTCTGTGCTACTCCAGCAGTGTTGCTGTGTTTGTATACCAAGGGAGACAGGGGCAGAGTTTTACTCCACCATCCTGGCTCTTGCTGCTGTAGGGGTTCTGCTCTTGCTGTCCTGCACATTGAGGATTTGAGAAAGCACGTTCTCAGGTTGCATGCTAAAACTGATGGGAGAAGTAAGAATGTTTCTCCGGTGGACTAGATGCAGCACAGTAATTGAGATCTCAGAATCAGTCACCACTCTGAAAGGTCACTGTAATCATTAACCTTCAGCGTGAAAACTCAGTTGGGACGAAGTGGGAGAAATTTTACATGCCTCTTTGGTTATTCATTTGGGCTGTTTTTGCAAACTCAGGGAAGATAATAGCGTTGTGCTTCATTATGTGAAAGTTTTCTTTGCCATCAGAAGGTCTAAAAATTTGAAATCAGTAAGAACTTTATAAATTCATCATCTCTGAATATCTGACCAGTTTATTTAGACTCTAAAGTGCAAGATCATTGTTGAGCTTAGACTTTTCTCAGTATTGAGGGCCAAAATTGTGAGTGTTTTGTGCTTAAACATTTCTCCCTAGGCTACCAGAAAGAGATGAGTTAGTGAGGTTGATTTAGACTAGTGAAGAGTGCTTTGGGTTTTTTTTTTCTTTAGCCACGTGGCATACTTGCACCTTTTACGGTACAGATTTCCTGTAAAGCAAGGAGGCCCCTGATGAGTATAAGATATTAGGCTACAGCCAAAGTTACTGAATTGGCATCCTCAGGAATGCTAAAACGAAGTCGTGTTCTAGGAAGGGTGAAGGAGTAGTTCTACCCCCAAAAGGGGAACCTTCACACTCTCCTGTGAATGAATAAATACAGTTCATAATTGTACGTGACTTTAGTTACTGCAGACCAAGCTGTTCTCTCCACCAGGCTCTGCTACTCCAGGAGTCGTACAAACTTTTGAATAATCAATGTAAATTATTTACTCAACAGTTTTAATTTATACATTTCATGAAAGTTAGGCTTATGTATTCCTAATAACAGACATATGGAAAAGTCATGAGCTGGATAAATAGTTTTGTATGGTCTTGCATGGTTATGTCATGTGTATGTATAAACCTGCACCTCAAACACTAAGTGCGCACAGACTGAACATTCCAAAATAACTGCATATTTTATGAAAATCTTGCCACAATTATTTGTATGTCCTAATAATGAACTACCTGCCTTGTAGTATTTTTTGTATTACACTACTTTGTCTGAAAGGTAAAACTAAGTCTAGGTATTCTGTAATTGTAGCCTTGAATTTCCTGGTTTTTCAAAAGCTTAAAAGAAAATCCTTGGCAGTAGTATTCTATTGCTATAATTTTTTATTAGTAGTCATTTTGGGATTCTCTCTTCCTTATGTGCTTTCCTCTTACCTCAACAGGATGTCCTTGGAGAGTTTGAATGTCAATTTTACCTACGGGTTTTTATATGAAAGATTTTCTAAAAGTATGAACAGAATTAGTCTCGATAAGAAATGGAAAATCTGAAGGTTTTTAAACATGGTTTAGCTTGGAAAGGATTTATACTTCTATTTCTAAGTGGCATATTTAATAATTGTGCATGTAATTTAATAATCAGCAATTTCAGCATTGGAAAATTGGGTCATATGGCTGTAGGGAAGCAATGTCTGAAGTTGTATTCTCTGGGAGTTTGACACAGAGAGAGGGAGGAGGATTATCACCACTGCATATTTTAATATAAATTGTCTTTCCTTCCTTTAGTTGCTAGGAAGAGTTTGTTGCACAGAAATCTGGAATGACAGTGAGCCAGTTTGTTCATGACGATAATCTTGGCTTATAAGTGGACATTTGTGTCACTGCCAGCTGCATTTGGGTTTATTCCATCCAAAGCACCAACTGCACTGTGTTTCCTTAAAAGCAGTTTCTTTTATGAAGATCTAGTGTGTGACTGTACATGTGCCATATGCTGCTACTTGTGTTTTGTGACCCTAAAGCCTCCTATGGAGAGTCTGTGCAGTACGACAGTGCAAGCCATTCAAAACTCGGTATTTACCAACTGCTACCACTGTTAGTTCCCACTCTTGTGTTTTGGGGGATCTGTCATATTCTCCAGTAGTGCTGTATAGAAGCTGGTGATAAATGTCTGACTTGGAAGTAGGCATATATCTGAAGGAAGCTGGAAACTGAGAATTATTTTTTTCCCCAACATACTTGTTTCTCTTAAGTGTTGTACCTTGATTAGCAGATGGGGAAAAGTAAAGGGATTTGCTTTGTGTTGCGTTGGAATCATTGATGCTGCTGTAATACCTTGAGGATATCTCAGTGGGATGAATTTGAAAGCAATCACGCAGATATGTTTTCTCAAAATTATCTGATGTTAGTAAGGCGAGTTATAGAAAAGATGATGGAAACCAAGCAACAGCCTCAAGGAATTACCCAGAGAAGATAAATCAGCACTGTTGTTTTCCTGTCACGTAAGACCTGCATGTGGCAGGATATTCAGAATTCATCCAAATAAAATCCCCTCATTTTTATATTGATAGAAATGTGTTTGATCAACATTTAGACTTGAAAGCTTTCTACATTCAAATATCTTTCCTTCCCAATGTCAAAACGATCTCAACCTGATATGTTAATTTTTTTTAATGAGTCATGAGATAATGTACATTTATACTATTTCAGGTATTTAGGTAGGACATAGATGTTTGTGCTTTTGGAAGCAGGACCACTAATAGATACCTGAACTAAAAATAAGATACTTTCTGTAAAAAGTTTATGCTGTTTCTTATGGTGGTTTGTCATAACTACACCCATGAGTACAGGTCAGAGCTGCCAGACCTATTGCTTTTCCTGTATTCTGGTAAGTATGTTAAAAAGATGAAGCTCTGCCTATATGTGGGCTTATGAATTCTTAGGACATTCACACACTACAAAAGGAAAGGGGAAGGAGAAGTGAAAATCAATCCCCATTACTCATGTAAGATGAGCATACTCTCACATCCACATTTGCAACACTCATGTTTTTAGTGAACACTGATTCTGCAGCTAAAGGTATTTTTTTAAAATATGATGTTTTAGCTGTTCTTTTTTCTTTTCTGTTCCAGCTCCTCAGGAATCTAATGCACTTAAAGCCAGACCACGATCCAGGTACTGCTTTCACTTCTATTTCAGGAGAAATAAACACCTCTGGTGATAGACACAAAGCATAAGAAATGGTGTGTTTTGTTGTTTGGTTTTTTATTTTTTTTTTTTTTTAAATTGGTGTGGTGCTGGAAATACAGCTCAGATCAGACAGATTTACCAGGAGGAATCTGTAAGCTATAGACCCTACATAAGTAATGCCCTGGGGCCCCATGATCTCTGATCATATGGTGCTGGAAGTTTTGCCTGTCTGCCCAGCCCTGCTCTCTTGTCAAGGTGGTGACTGCCTCCAACCCCGCCCCAGGGGCTTCCTGGCAGGACAGCTGGGACCACCCCATTGCTGGGAACGTCCTCTGCAATTTTGTGCTCTTGAAACCTGCAGGGTGGTTTCATATGGAGGGAGACACTGCACGTTCCCACAGAAACAACAGTAGTAGCTCAGCTCTCTGGTGTGGGTGAGTGAATCCTTTTGTTGGCATGTGTGTACTTGGCTACAGTTGGTTGATGTGTGATGGGAGGACTTACAGGCTGACACTGTTGTGCTATAAGTGACATGCATTGAACTTGGATATTTGAAAGAAAAGGGAGAACCTGTGCCAGAAAATATAGTGTATAAATGGATTGCATCTTGGGTTTGGCTGTTCACCTACTGATTTATAAGCATATTGTTAATTCACCTTCAAACTTTTCTTCTTTGGTGCCAGTTAGAGGATTCCTTTTGGGTTTGTTTTTTTTTTTTTTTTTCCCTTGGGTAATGAGAGTATAAACAGGATCTCCCTGCTTACAAGCTTGTCTAAGCCTGCTAGTAAGAGAGGGTCAGCTATAGGCATGATGATTACAGATTGAAATCCTGTCTTCCTACATGGGAAGGCTGAACTGCTTCATGTGCCTGTTTTTCTGCAGCTAGCCAAAGATTTTTAGTTTTAGCACAGTTTTAAATTTTCTTCCTATGTTACTGGATTGCAAATACTCAAAAAATGTGCAAAAATGCATTAAAACAGCAAATGCTTAAGCTCATAAAAAGTCACCTAAATGTAACCATCACATATGAATGACTGTCTTCATCTGACTGTGTGTCACTGCTTCAATGCAGAAGTTGAGTCTAAAGATGCCTCAGCACATCCTTGAATTCAGACCTGTTGTGCTTATTGAAAAATGGGATGAAATGCCACAGCTGGATTTATTTTTCTCTTCAAAAATTGATTGACATGTTAAAAAAAGTGTATTAATGGACTTTAAACACCTGATTGGAATATATTCAGTAACTGAGAAAAGAGGTAAAAACACTGAAAGAATTTGTGATGTGAATAGTAAATCTAATAAACTTGGTGATGATGATAAACAAATACAATTATTGGTGGCTTTTCCAGGAGGTCCTTAAAACTGATTCAGTGAGTGAGGAGGAATCTGACAGTCCTATGTCAGGCAATGTTAGAGAAGGAAGTAAATCAGGCAGTCCTGTGTCTGGCAGAACTAGGGGAAGACGATAGAGTGATTAAGGCTCCTTTAAGACGAGCTTTGGGACCAGCTGGGAAAGCCATCCATGTGCATGTACTGTTTACTAACTGATTGATTGACTTGGAAACGGAATGCTGGATGTTATTGTAACAGTCCTGATGGGATGTATAGTGGTATTAAGTCTGTGATGATGACACATAACCCCAGCTGGGGAGATACACAAGCTTTGTTACAATATCTGTTTATTCGTGTAGCAAAAAAAGAGCAGTTTTAGAAAAAGAAAAGGAAGGACTGAGTGTGGGGGGAAATGGAGGGGATAGATCAGAAAATTTGGAATACCAAATCTTGAACAACTTCTCCCTAAAGAAGATCCTGAATGGGATCTGAATGAAGATGTTGGATTAAAAGGAATAAAAATATATCAGATGTTGATTTTATATGGAATTCAGAATGGAGTGGAGAAACCTAAGAGTCTTGTGAAGTTGTATGAGGTAAAGCAGGGAGACAGAGCATCTCCATCAGCTTTTTTGAGCGGTTGTGTGAAGTGGCTCGTAAATGGACAGACTTGGAGAGTGAGGGTAATAGGATGTTGTTCAGTATATGCTTTTTATTGGACAGTCAGCACTGGATATAAGGAGCCTGTTTGGCAAAAAATATTGCCCGTTTCCCATTAGTGAGAGTTATTTCTGTTTTACTCAAATGTGCTTTTGGTCTTGCCCTGACATGCATAATGTGTTGCAGTGAGTGTAATGTCTCACAGTGTCAGTGCTCGTTTTGAGCAAAGTCTCCTCCTTACAGGAGAACTGTAACTACAACAACTGAAAAATACTGGACAGTGTTCAGCAAAATCAAAATTCTTAGCAAATGCACCACCCTTAATTGGGATTAATTGATGTGTGAGGGCCTGGAAAGGTGTACTGAGCCATGTATTTGACCAGTTTTGGTCATCTTTGGAGCTATTCAGTTTTTCTGGATTTTGTGGAATTTAGTGACTGTATGCTATGAAAATTTTTTTCTAATAGAATTTTTATAAATTATAAAATGTGTACTTGCAAGAAGTATGTTGAAGCTATATCTGTATAAACAGTCCCCTTGCAGTTGGAAAAGGCAACAGAAGCTCTAAGGGGTGTGTGTATGGGGAATTTTACTTGGATTTCTTCAAAACAGTTGCTGCAATTTTTGTGTTGACAAAGTTACATAAGAAGGCCTGAGGCTGTGTTACAAAAGGCCTTAAAAAATACTAGCCCTGTAATCATGACTCGTTCCTTTCTCCAGACACTTGGGTCTCTCTGTTGCCAAATAAATCTGTCTTGTTATAAGGGAGAACTTCCAGTCATTAGGGCAAGGAATTTCCACCATGAACCTGAGTTCTGGTCAGTGCATTTTTAGGTAGTAATCACTGTAACTGTGTAAAATTAATTTTTGAAATAAAACATTTTCTGCTTTTCCCCTGCCTGTTTTTCCTTAGGTCTTATTCTAGCACATCAATAGAAGATGCCATGAAAAAGGGAGAAGAGCCCCCTACTCCACCTCCAAGGCCACAGAAATCGCATTCCAGAGCTTCCTCTTTGGATCTGAACAGAATATTTCAGCAAAACACACAAGGTGAAGTTTGCTTTCTCTCCTGTTTTTGAGACCTTTTAGGTTAGCCATGTGCTTGGCAACGTGATGTGTTTGTACAAATGCTTGACAATATGTGCACATGCTGGCCTTTGCTGCAGACAGTGATGCACTACAGAAGAGGAGTATTTGCACTTGGTTGTGTTACGTCGCCACTGAGGGGAAAAATCACTGTTGCTGTAATTAAGGTGATTATAATGTTTTCTGGCACAATACTGGGAAGCTTAACATATGGTAGTCTGTCATCATTGACTGTTTATAACTAGGCTGGCTGTTTAGACAGCTCTCATCAGTAACTGCAGTATAATTGATTTTTATTACTGTTTATTTTTTGTAGTTCAGAAGCAGTAAGAAAACTCTTAATGTTTAAACTGGGAGAAGGAAAGCAAACATTTTTGATGTAAAGTCTACCATATGTGTACGGACAATCAAAAAACAGTCTTTGAGTAAAAAGAAAGGGTAATTTCTTTTGACACAGGTGCATGTTGAGGGGAGAGAAAGAAAATGTAGAATAGTAGATGGGGAGGACTGAAAGAAAATGGCTTTTCAGCAAGTTAGTGTTCAAGTGTGCCTCTTGCCTTGCACAGTGAGCAGTGAAAAGAGGAGCTGTTTGTTCAGGGCAGCAGTCATCCAGCATTGCTGTGCTTCAGCAGTGTCCTTGAACCACGGCAGAGGTTTATATGGGGCACACCAATCATCTGACTCAAGGACCAAGTTAAACATGGTCATGCTTATGCTTCAGAAGAAAGCCAAGGTTTGACTGTGTCCAGAAATGTTTAACTGGGCTCTGTAATGTGGTTTTGAAGTAGAATTGTTCTGCCTCTTGCTATGTGGGACTTTTTTTGTGCAAACACTAAAGAGAATTCAAGAGTCCTTCTGTGTGTGCTGAACCCTGAAACTCAATAGGAATAAAATTGTTTGGTGGGGTTTTTTTTCTTACACAGAGAAGTAGTTCCTTATCTTTGACTATGGTTCCTGTTGAGGGATGTGTTGCTTCCAATTTTGATTTTGTTATACATCCAAATAAAACCCCAAACAGAGCCAAGTACCCATTTTCTAAGGCAGCAAATCTTCTCAGAATCCAGATAATGAGTATAACTGGAAGGAAATAAACTTGGATTTAAGTTTTGCTTGGAACACAAATGAAAGAAGAATGTAAATTCCCAAAGAAGTCATTCTGTGAATGAAAATTAACATCTTGTTTTTGCAATGGAACATTTTGAAAGTCATTATTACTTTTGAAGTAACATAACACTCTCAGGCACATGATATGATTCTTGGGATGTCCAGCGCAGGGCCAGGAGTTGGACTTTGGTGATCCGTTTGTGTCCCTTCCAAATCAGGATATTTTATGAGTCTATATATGTCCAACATGATTAGAATAGTTCTATTTTAGCACATTAACTTTTGTCCCACTAGTTCTAGTTCACAAATAATAGTTATTTGGGAAGTTTGGTGGATAAATCTGCTTCCAGACCTACAAAGGAGTGCTCAGTAGTATTGAGTTCTGTTTTCAGTTCCACACAGGTCATGTTGATCTATAGGTGTCACTTCTCTAATTGTAAAGCCATCTGTAGTTTGGAGCATTGGTTTTGTTTATTCCCTTTTTAAAGCACAGAAAAAAGAGAAATATCTTTTCTTCAAGTAAATTTAGTCAAAGACTGTGGCAGATCCTTGTTGTGGGCAGGGGTTGGTTGTTATGTTGTTTTTTGGTTTTTTTTGGTTTTTTTTTCCAGTGGTTTTTTGGTTTGGGTTTTTTTTTTTTGTTACTCATTTACTGCTGCTGTATCATGTTTGTCACCATCTTATTATGCCTCTCTCCTGGCAAGCATACACACAGAACATTTATTCATGATGGCTGGGATGTCTAGCAATGCATTAACCACAGAAACTGTGCTTTAAAATTGTGAAGTTGGGATGTAACTGGACTTGAAAGAGGCACCTTCATTCATACTTCCTAGCTGTAGTCCTCTGGGATGCTGTAACTAGAGTTACCTAGGAAAAACATAAAAAAAGCGAGAGAACTTATTGAAAGGTCCCACTTTCTCAAATATCCATATATGAATTTCTGTTAGGAGATGTCAAGAGACAGAAATCTCTTTTTTTTTAAATTCATGTAGACTTTATGTTAGCATCTGAGGATCTGAAAAATACTGCTAGATTCTCCATGTTGAATGTGTAATCTCTGGCATTTGGGCTGTGTATGTATTAAGAAAATACTTGGCTAGAATGTATGCATTCCTGGAAGGACAACAGCAGGCTTTAAGTAGAAACAAAAATGTCAGTTTAAATGCATACTTGACTTGATGTACATCTTTCATTTCTTCTTTAGCCCGCTCTCTGGTTATTTACAAGCCAAGAGCTTCCAGAGTAAGACCTGGGTATTGAGGGGGCCAAAACTGGGGCAGCTCAGAACCTGTCAGTCCTGCAGCAGAGCCCCCAGCAGTAAGCTAGAACCTGTTCTTGGGGTAACTCTGGGGCTGGAGCAAGTCTCAGCTTAAGTATTAAAACCCAAAAATGCATCCTTTGTCTTCTGGTGTTTTGCTCAGTTATGTTTTCTGCCCATGACAGCTACTTAAAGATTTAATTCTGGGCCATTAATAGGCAGTGTCAGCAGTCTGGGTCTTGTTAGATTCATACAGATGCCTCTGAAACACATTTTATTTCCATTTAGTTTAATTTCTGAATCACATAATCACTTTTAATTAACAGTTCTGTTGAACAAAGGATACTTCTTGGGAAAAGAGAATTTTCTTTGATGAAACAACAGAATTGTCATGAACGGTACAGTTTTGTGTTGTTCTGGAAGCAGGTTGAACATTGCTGTGTAATTCAATAAAACAGCCATATAACTATTTACAAATGAATTTTTGACTGAAGGTTTTCAGCGCTTATTTGCTTTTGAAACTCACCTCCTGCTGTGGCTGTCCCTGCAGTGAAGAACGTGTGGAATGCAGGCACCGTTTTCTGTGTCAGCTCGTAAGGAAACACTCATTGTAACCTTTATTTGCTCCTTCTGGGGTGCTGGTTTCAGCCAGCAGTGTGGGGCTAATTTTGGGGGCTTTTTCTGCCTTGTAAAATATGAGGTGTTAAGGTCCACACTTGGTCAGGGGAATCACAGAAAGCATTTTGCTGCAAGTGCGGTGTTCTCTGTTACAGATGATGTTTTCCTGATTACAGTCAGATCTGTAACCTCTGCTTAGCATTGCTGCACTAGTGATGGCTGCCAAACAAGAAAACATCCCTTTTGCTCTAAACTTAGTGTTCACAGTAGAGGAACAAAGGAAGAGATTTATTGGTGGGCATCAGCATTCCCATAAGTGATATAAATGTGTCTGCACATCACTTCTGTACTGCTTCATATGCATGTTTCTCATGCAGTTTAAAGTGGTACTTTTATTGTTAAGACTCAGTCAGTACAATCTTCTTTCTGCACCCTTTCATTTTCATTAGTGCTAGGGGAAAACTGTGTTCAGCATCGTATTTTATCCTCTTTTTCATACCTTTGAAGAAGACTTCATTACTTCCTTTACTCCATCAAACTCTGATTATTTCATTCCATTAAAACATCTTTTCCTTGAGCATAAAGACTTGGTGGATTTTGTTTGCCAAATGTGGAGATTTGTGAATAGTTAGACGTATGTTGAGATGTTTTTCCATATTTGCCTAACTACAGTCAAATTCTTTGTATTTCTGAGTCGTTTAAATCTATGTGTCAAACAAAACCATTCTGTAATTCTGTAGGAAACAGGATTTTGAGAATTAAAATGATGGTTGCTCTGATTTCATATGTTTTGATACAAACAAGCCCAAATAGTTACCATAATACAGTTTTTCCAGTTGTTTACAGCAATATCTCTTCAGCTAGATTGTCTTTTTAGTTTGGTGAGCCAAATGTAGGTGACTTTCCCTTTTATGTATGTGGAACTGGTACCAAAAAACCTGTGAAATTTAACCAAGATGAGCATGATTACTGTATTATCTTCTGTATTCTTTTATGTGTAATTGTATTTACTAGGAAATGTCTGTGTTCATTGAGGTTAGCTGTCTTCAAGACAGTTACTAAAGACAAGCTTTTAAGAAGTGATGCAGGGAGTTATGTTTTTGTGTTACCATAAATACAGATTTCTTAACTAAAATTTTTTTTTGAAAGCCAAATTACATGGGGCAACTTAAAATAGTAATGTTCTTTTTTAAGGCTGAATTTATATCACAGTGAATTAAATTAAGTAATGAATTTTCAGGACTTCTTTCACTGCTTTTGTATTAGTCGTGGTTTATTAAAATCCACCTACTTTCTTGGGTTTTGCTCATGGTGTAGTACTGTGCTGTCTTGTGTGTTACTGTGTTGAGTTTATTAATCAGACCATTAAACGTTAAATTAGGAAGAAGACAATTCTGAAGGACCTTTATTTTAGAATAATAACAAATACCATCAGCAAAACATGCCATTTCATGGATGTTGTTTGCATAGTTACAAGAGCTGTGATGTTGCAAGCTTCGTCAGGAGTGTAGTCAAGTTAGTGACTTTGATTGTAAGGGTTGTTACAAATTTAAATTAAAAATGTCTTATGTATAAAACGCAGAACACAAAATTGGGCTGCTTATCATATTTTTCTCTGGCTGTGAAATGCTTTTTTAAAATAATTGCTGCAAAAATATTTTTTGGATTTGGAGAATAGATTTTTTTCTTTTCTTTTGGGACACAGTTCCTGATCTGTTACTGGAGCTGCTGTTTTCTTCTGGTCCTGTTCCCCTTCTGCATATATGTGATCACTGAACTGAGCTTATTCTGAATAAACTATTAATGTCATCTTTCTGATTTGAATGAAAGAGTTTTATGCCTTTCAGTCTTTCAGAAGTTTTTATGAAGGATTTATGTGTTTACAACTATGTAACTTATTTCTTTGCCCAACTGGATAAGGACATAAGTAAGGTTGAATAAGATGGAGAAAACAGTGACAACATCAATGGATGAATGGTTC